ATCCTATTGTAACAAAACTAGGTATGAAAAAGGTGTTCCTATAATGTCGGTTATGTCAGATTTTGTTGTTTTTCATGCTTATAATTGCACACGTCCAAATAGTTACATTATCATCGCATCCCATTCGGATTTTGTTGTCGTTGAACTTTAGATTTGGAAATAATTTATATAATTTTAAGTCTTTGAATTCAACAAAAGCTACTTTTCTCATAGAGATATTATCAGCGTATGACAATTAAAGATTTCGATATGTCCTTCTTGTGATTCATCATGGATCACATTGGATATGGCGAGAATTCATGCGTACACAATCGATCGATTTAATTGTGTTTCGTATTTTTATTTCGTAGGCATATATTGAAAACATTTTTCATTGTAGTTCTTCCACATATGCGTTTCGATGCCAGATGGGTCCAGAATGGTATCATTGTCGCTGGTGGTTACGGTGAAGGTGAGGCATTTAATCAACTTTCACTTCCTCATGGTCTCTATGTGAATGACGATGACACCATCTTAATCGTTGATTTGGCCAATCATCGTATTGTGGAATGGAAATACGATGCGACATTTGGTCAAGTAGTGGCAGGTGGTAATGGAAAAGGAAATAGAATTGATCAATTGAATAGGCCAACGGATGTTATTACCGATAAAAAAACAGACAGTCTTATCATTTGTGATCGAGGAAATCGACGAGTGGTACGATGGTCTCGTCGAAAGGGCACAACAAGTGGAGAAATAATCATCGAAGATATTGATTGTTGGGGATTGACGATAGATGATCAAGGATTTTTCTATGTCTCTGATTATAAAAAAGATGAAGTAAGACGATACCGAATCGGAGAAACAAATGGAACATTAGTAGCAGGTGGAAATGGACATGGTAATCGTCTCAATCAACTTGATTGGCCTCAATACATCGCTGTCGATCAAGATTATTCAGTATACGTGTCCGATTGGAACAACCATCGTGTAATCAAGTGGATTGAAGGTGCAACAGAAGGCATTGTGGTGGCGGGTGGCCGAGGTAAAGGCTATGATTTTACTCAATTGTCTTATCCTAACGGAATATTTGTCGATCCGTTCGGAACAGTCTATGTCGCAGATCAGGGAAATCATCGAGTGATGCGTTGGTTGAAAGGTTCAACGGAAGGAAATCTTATTGCTGGTGGATATGGTGAAGGTAATCGAGCAGATCAATTGAGCAGTCCAGCTGGTTTATCACTCGATCGACGTGGCAATCTCTATGTCGCCGATAGCAAAAACAATCGAGTTCAACGATTCTTAATCCAAGCGAGCTGATGTTGTTCGTTATTAAAATCATCTGCAGGACATTATAGCCAGTTTAGTTATTCTGTGGTACCTATATTTCTCAGATATATTTATATCTGAATCACCTTCAAATAAATAGTTTGTAATCCATCGAACTACTTTTCGCTAGGTAATATGTGGGTGGGTGTGGGTGTGGGTGTGAGTGTGTGTCTAAATGAAAGACGAACATGCACACCTACACCCACCATCATAGACGAAGGCAGTCTGAAATAACAATCAAAATCTTTTTGAACACATAAACAATGAAGATCCACATGATTTTGTCAAGAACATTTTACACATGTATATGTACCTGTGTCAAGTGTTCTTCAAAAAATGACATGAATTTCTACAATTTATGTATCCCAAAAAGATTTCAATTGTTGTTTCAGACCATTCTCGAATGTGATTCGTTAAACTGGACTTAGAATTAAAACAAAGTTCAAACTGTAGTAGAAACTCCATGGATTTACCCTAAAATTCCACAATTGTAGGTACTTTTAGTTCAAATCGAAGAATATGTCAAAAAGATAATAACAGATAGACGAGTTAGATGGACGGGTATGGATGTCGGGTGTCAGTTAAGAGAAGACGAACACCCACACCCCAAAAATTTGTTCTTGAGAGATAGTTTTAGGATAGGGGGCGTATCACTCTTACTATCTAAAACAAAGATGCAAGGGAAGAACATAACTTTAGTGAGCTCTGTATTCGAGCACCCTCCATCAAATGACAGAGAATAATATATAAACAATAATGGTTTATCTACGTGTTCAAGAGTTGTTAAAAGCGATTTTTTAATTCTCTTTTGATGAACATGATGATGACAAGTTAAAAGTTTCATCATAGGTGTTCTACTACGACTGCAACACAGTCCGAGGATTATATAAGATTTGAATCGAGTAAGGAGCTCTTAGATTATTTTTTTTTTTCAATAAAACCAGCGAAATATGACAGAAATAACGGAAGAGTTTTATTGAAATTCTTCTGTAAATAACAAATAGAAAATACTAATGCATAATATTATGCAATATAAGGAAAATATGCTCCTTATCTGTAAGCTGATGACATGTTCATTATTATGTATGCGATTTCATTTTTTTAATTTACAAATATCTTAGAAAATTAGAACTCTTCCTACTTTGTATTCGTTTTTGTTTACAAGAATCATTAACACTGGTTCCTATAGCAGCAGATATAAAATCTATCACATTCAAAGTTGTTCATCTCTCTCTCAGTTTATGATTCGAAATCTCAAAGATTTTATTACTTTATTTTTGTCGTAGGTCATTGGACACTGTAACTTTCTTAATGAAGTAATAAAATTTCATTCTAAATATCATTAATCTTTTTATATACTTCTCTTTGTATAACCTTTCAAAGGTGATAGTATTATTCCTGAGAGTAATAAGTTCTTTTTTTGAGTTAAGTATAGAAATTATAAAAGTGACCGAATCAAATGTACATAATTGTATTCTCGAAAGTCTTGCATGATTAGGGGTGGTACTTTACTTTTGCTTTATAAAATAAAGATAAATGAATCCTTTATTTTTAAAAAGTAAATGTAAATGAATCATTTATCTTTAAAAAAGAAAAGAAAAATAAACGAATAAATGATACTTTTTACGAGAACAGATAATGGAATTGGAAGAGCACTAGAATCATGAAATAAATCTGCAGAGAGATTATTACGATTTAAAAATGTACAGGAGGGGGGCGGGTTTGCACGTAAAACGGCCCTAAATAAAAATCATCTCAGAACACTTTATAAAATTGAATTTCATCTTCCTCTAAGTAAGAATAAAGTATCTGGGCCTCTTTCAGGCCATGTTTCGAGACCTCTTCTCGACATTTCTACCTACGGCAGAAGTATTATCAATATCGGAATCTCCCTCACAGGTTAACTGCGTTAGCTTACCAATTCAGTTTCATATTTTCAGCGGAGATAGAGCTTTTCAAGACCTTCAAAATGATCACCAATTGTTAAG